TGTACGATTTACAAAGATAACACTTATGTGAGGTTTACTGCATACATCTGCTCACAATCAATATATGGCCTTGTGCGTGGTGGCAAAGCATGAGGATGAGATGGAATAAAAGGCATTCATTGTCTCCTTGCAAAAACAGACGAGGTGAACACAACTGGTACCAAATAAACCCTTCTCAAGCAGCTGCTCTGAAATGTGGAGAAGCATTTCCAGCCGCTCCTCCTGCCTCAAAAATGTGGCAATGGCTGTTCTCGAAGTATGACAAACACACAGTGATAGAACGATTTGTAAAGCATTGTAGAGTCGTGTAACACAGGATGTGAGACACCTCACCACTTCCAGTATTCGCAGGTGGAAAGACAAACTGCATGTGCTGACCTACACAATTAACACAAATCATTCAAGATACAATGCCTCTACGGTAACTGTTTAAATTGAGTAAATTGTGGCATGTGCACACTATGTGGGAGGGGGATGGGCAGGGGGAGAAGAGGGGTTATGCAAGCAATGCTAACCGAAGAGATTCCATACACAGTCGAAGACGGGGGGGGGGGGGCTTCCAGAAATGCTTCTGGAACGTATCAATGACTTTTTCAGTCTGCGCTACCACACCCTACCAGACTAAACTCACCATTCGGGCGCTGAATAAAGGATCTGTTTGCAAATGAGGGAGGGGTTGCAAAAGAGAGGAAGTAGATTTGTGTATATAACTCTGAAGTTATTGCGTTTTTCGAGTAATTCATACATTTACAGTTTTTAAAACATCTTAAACATCAATCATTTCAAGGGAGGGTTTTTTTTGTGTGAAAAGTCAGCTAACTTTCACTTCACCCTAAGCAATGAATTACTCTTAATAAGTGTAAGTGCAGTACCAAAACTACTGCTTGCCATTAACTTCTTCCACAGAGGATATATTGTACTGCACACACACCACACACACACACACATATATATATGAAAGAGAAAGGATTAGAAGTGTATTGGGGAGACTGAGGGAGGGAAAGAATTAGGATGGGTGGAAGCTCATTTGCCAAATCCTTGCATTTGATATAGTGCCTTTATGTCAGGGCGACTTCTCAAAGCGCTTCACAGGATTTACTGCAAGGTGTAGTCACCATCTTTTTTAAAAAAGGTGAACAAGACAGTCAATTTGCACACAGCAGTGCCTCACAAATGGCTGCAAAGTGTACCACTAATTTTACAAGGGAGGGTGCTGGCCAAGACATCAGGAGAAACCCCCTTCACGCTTCAAATTGTGCCATGGAATCTTTGACGTCCACCTGAACAGGACCTTGATGTAAGGTCAAGTCTCAATTCAAAGGACGGCACTTTCCACAATGCTGGACCCCCACAGCCCAATGCATTGAAACGTCAACCTAGAATATTTTAGTTCAAGTCTGAATTCGGAGACGAGAATACTGCCAACTGAGTCGGGCTGAATTTAAGCACTGGTCCCCACTGTTTTGAGCCAAATTGCCCGTTTGATTGCTGTAGGTTCTGTGCGAATCAATTCTATAATGTTATCGTTAAAAACCTTTGCTGACAAGAGATGGTTTAAGGAGCCATCTCAGAGATCACCATCTCAAATATTTTTTGGTCGCATGCTTTGGGACTGGAAGCCTGTTTGATTTGTTTGTTTGTTTGTTTGTTTGTTTAGCAAACAAAATGGGCAATATCAGTACACTGGAGGGAAACAGCAGCAGTCGAGGTAAGAGCAGCTTAAAAGCTAAATTTTCAAAGCTAAAAGCCACTCGCCTACAGGTTTCTTTTGCTGTCAAGATTTCCGTGACCAAATTAAGACTGTAAGTTCTCCCATACCACTTCACTACGCAGCCCACTCGCACATAAAGGCAAAAGAATGAGCGGGGTTAGCTCACACGTACACCCATTTAATATCAGTGACCATATTTGTCACCAACACCCAGGAAAATTGTGGTCGCAAAGCTTATCTTTTGTTACAGCATTATTGAGAACACAGAAAAGTTCTCGAAACTGCAAACCTAATTTCCTTTTGAGAAAACCTATGACTACGGTAGTCTTCTTTGGCTTAGCTGCTGAGGAAGGCGTAATATAACAAACAGGACTCAAGTTCATTCATTAAAGCAGTTCGTTCAGATTCAATTTAGCATGGGGGAGGGGATGTAGTTTTAAGTTCAGAAGTTTACTTTTACTGCCAAAAATGCAAGCTTCAGATTTCTTTTTTAATACATATATATATAACATAAAAAAAGAAACATCTATGCAAATCATCAAAGGGTTATAAATGTGAAACTAGACCGTTCCAATGAAGCATGGCTTGATCTAACCTGGGGGAGGGGGGCGATGACTAAATTGAGATAAAAACGGGACTATTGTGCTAAGTCAGAGGCTTTATGGCGAAAACCTGCCAAACTGCCAAATAAGGCGCTTCCATTAACGACTGGACTACTGTTAGGAAAGATGACGCATTGCAGGAAGCTTTGAGTCACTTTGGTTCCACCACTTTAGTTGGACAAAAGCCAACAGAAAAAGTAGGGGGTTTTTTTTCCAAAAAAAAAACCACACACCACTTTCTCCCTCCAAAAAAAAAAGGTTCAAATCGCCGAATGAATAAATACCAATCGGCGCACCTTTCTCACCAAAAAAAAAGGCCAATATAAGATCCTGTAAAGCAAACCACCGGCTTTTTTTTTTGATTAAGTTTTTTTTTGTGGGGTGGGGGGGGGTTTTGCAAAACTGGTGTGTGTGTTAACCGCGTAATAAAACGAATCTCTCTCTTACACAAACATATACATATATATATATATAGACGCATATATATTCACATTGAAAACTACTCTTAAAAAAATCACTTTTTCTTTATTATTATATAAAAAAGCACAAAAATCAAGGAGAGGAGTTGGGGAGAGAGACATTGGCCTGTGGTGGGAGGGGAAGTGGGGGGAGAAAGAGATCCGGCGCAAAAGGAGAGAGGGGGGAGAAAAAAAAGTGAATTGTAGATGGGAGTTATTTGGGTTTGGGGGTGAAGTGTGGGTTGAGCTGTGTGAGTGAGTGAGGGAGTGAGTGGAGTGTGAGTGAATGAGGGGAGTGTGAGTGAGTGAGAGTGAGGGGAGTGTGGGGGTGGGGGGCAGTGTGGGGGGGGCAGTGTGGGTGGGGCTGTGGGGGCAGTGTGGGGAGGGCTGTGGGGGTGAGGGGGCAGTGGGGGTGGGGGGGCAGTGGGGGGGGGGCGTGGGGGGGGGGTAGTGTGGGGGTGGGGGGGCAGTGTGGGGGTGGGGGGGCAGTGTGGGGGGGGGGGGGGGCAGTGTGGGGGTGGGGGGCAGTGTGGGGGTGGGGGGGCAGTGTGGGGGTGGGGGGGCAGTGTGGGGGTGGGGGGCAGTGTGGGGGTGGGGGGCAGTGTGGGGGTGGGGGGCAGTGTGGGGGTGGGGGGCAGTGTGGGGGTGGGGGCAGTGTGGGGGTGGGGGGGCAGTGTGGGGGTGGGGGGGCAGTGTGGGGGTGGGGGGCAGTGTGGGGTGGGGGGCAGTGTGGGGTGGGGGGCTGTGGGGGGTGGGGGGGCAGTGTGGGGGGGGCTGTGGGGGTGGGGGGCAGTGTGGGGGCGGCAGTGGGGGGGGCAGTGTGGGGGGGGCTGTGGGGGTGGGGGGGCAGTGTGGGGTGGGGGGGCAGTGGGGGGGGGGGCAGTGTGGGGGGGCTGTGGGGTGGGGGGGCAGTGTGGGGGGGCTGTGGGGTAGGGGGGGCAGTGTGGGGGGGGAGGGGCCGCCGGTCGGGGGCCCGTTACAAAGTAACAGTCGCCGCCGCTCCGCCTCAACCCAACTTGAAAAAAAGGGGTGGGCGGCGCCCCGCGCTCCCGGCCCCGCCCCCTTCCTTTGTGACGGAGAGGGGCGGGGCAGGAGCAGCCGGGGCTCTCGACCAATCGCAACGCGCGGCCGGGGGCGGTCCATCCAATCACGGGAGGTGGAGGGCGGGGCGTCCGGCCCAGCACGGTAGGTTGCGCCCCTCCCCCCCCCCTCCCCCTCGGGAGCAGAAACGTGTGGGTAATGGGACGAGACAGAGAGAGAGAGAGAGAGGAAACGACTCTCTCAGTCGCAAAGTTTTTACAACAAAGTTTCGAGCCCTCAACAGCATCCGAGGCTGGAACTTCCAGGTCGTTATCATGTGTCTCTGCCCCCCCTCTGCCCCCCCCCTCCCCCTCTCTCTATATATATATTATACACACACATATACATACATATATACACATATACATATATATATACACATATACATACATATATACACATATACATATATATACACATATACATATATATACACATATACATATATATACACATATACATATATATATATACACATATACATATATATACACATACATATATATATATTTCTCATCTGTCTCTGCAAACAAAATGCACGTCCCGACTCGAACCAACTTCAAAAGATCAACCCCACCCCTTTTTTTTTAAATCTGTAGATATATATATATATATATATACACATAGACATACACTCACTCAACTCACTCGCGCACAACTTACATACATACATAATAGCAGTAATGATCGATATAATGTAAAACAAATCTCGTTCAATTAAGGGAGAGAGACAGAGAGAGAGAAATAATAATAATGATTGGTCACCGCTGTATTTTTTTTACACACACAAAAAAGTTTTTCTTAGTTGTGGAGAGACGGGGAAACGGTGACCCATTCGGGGTCTTTTTTTGTTGCCCCTCTCCCCCCTCTCTCTCTCCCCCTCCCCTCCCCTCTCCCCCTCCTCTCCCCCTCCCCTCCCTCTCCCCCATCTCCCTCTCCCTCTCTCCCCCTCCTCTCCCCCCCCCTCCCTCTCTCCCCACCCCTCCCTCTCCCCTTCTCCCCCCCTCTCCCCTTCTCCCCCACCCCTCCCTCTCCCCTTCTTCCCCCCCTCTCCCTCTCCCCTTCTCCCCCCCTCCCTCCCCCCCTCTCTCTTCCCCTCTCCCCTCTCCCTCCCAATCGGATGACTCGGGCGCGTGGTAACTTACTCACCGTCTTAGGCATTTTTTTTTCTCTCTCTCTCTCCTCTCTCCTCTCTCGGGTCTTCTTCCTTTCGGGTGTTTTTTTCCCCCAAAAAATTGATTGCAAAAAAAAAAACACAAACGGGGACTTCCCTTCTTTCCGCGCTCTCAAAACCGAAAAAAAAAACCCCGACACAAAAAAAAAGTCGATCGGGTTTCGAAACCGAATCGCCGCCTTTTCTCTCTCTCTCTCTCTCTCTGTGTGTGTGTGTGTGTGTCTCTCAAAACCAGATGTTGCTTCTGCCCATCGGCTTTTTTTTCTCTCTCTCTCTCTCTCTCTCTCTTCGCTTCTGTTGGCGATTCGATGGCAACGCAAATATCAGTCACTTCACCTCCAGACACAGAGACACACAGAGAGGAGGAGGAGGAGGAGTGGTGGTGATGGTCAAAAGTAATGAGATATATATATGTGTATATATATATAGAGAGAGAGAGAGAGAGATATGGGGCGAAAAAAAAAAAGGAGTTCAGCAAAGCCTCGTTCCACACTGCGAACTGTCTCCAGAGGTCCTATTTTGCGGCACAGTTCCTGTAACGGAACTTGAATGTCTTGAGGCCGACACCACACCCACAGGAACACCATCACATTTTTAAACGGTGAGGAAACAGACTCCGCCTCAGCGTTACACACACAGCGCCGCGAGTCAAACCGACTGCGCCGTGAGCGCTCCTGTTGGTGTTACAAGAGCTTCGGGAGGGGGTGGGGGAGGGAGGGGGGTGGGGGGGGTACACAGAGCAATGCTGCTTCACCCCCCACCACACATACACATACCCACACACACATACCCACACACATACCCACACACACCACCCCACACACACACCACCCCCCACACACACAGCCCCCACCCCACACACACACTACCCCACCCACACACACCACCACACACATACCCACACACACCACCACACACATACCCACACACACACACACAGCCCCCACCACACACTACCCACCACACACACACACACACATACCCACACACACTACTCACTCCACCCACACCACCCACAGCCCCACTCCACACACACCACTCCACCCCACACACACAGCCCCCACCACACACATACCACCCACTCCACCCCACACACATACCCACACACACCACTCCACCCCACACACATACCCACACACACCACTCCACCCACACACATACCCACACACACCACCACCACACACACTACTCACTCCACCCACACCACCCACAGCCCCACACACACACCACCCACACACACACACACAGCCCCCACCACACACATACCACACACACACACAGCCCCCACCACACACATACCACACACACACACAGCCCCCACCACACACATACCACACACACACACAGCCCCCACACACATACCACACACACCACCACACCACCCCACCACACTACCCACCCACACACACCACTCCACCACACACACACACACACACAGCCCCCACCCCCCACCACACACACACCACCCACACTACCCCACACACACCACTCCACCCACACACACACAGCCCCCACCACACACACACCACACACCACACTCACACCACTCCACCCACACACACACACCCCACACACACACCCCACCACCCCACACACAAACCACCCACACCAACCCCCCCCCCCACACACACACCACCCCCCCCCCAAAACAAAGGGGGGCAAGGCAGTGTTAAGGTCCAGGCAATTGATATACAGTTTATGCCTTAACCATTTTGTGAATGTCCGGCAATGGGTTCCAAGAGAATTCTCTTTCGCAATACTGCTTAAAAATTCTTTTTTTTTTACCCTAAAATAACTTGTTTCACGGTGGCGTGAAACTGAGCCCTCAAGGGGACTCAGTAATTCCAGATTTGACTCCTGGTCCGCGCTAATTGCGAGCTAATCCCAGCTACGGCCACGATAAATCGGGTCCGATCGACCTCGAGGGATCCGGGTTAGAGAGGAACTTCAGCAGACGGTGTTCTTACTCCTAATGGCTCTCCGGTGAAACCCGCTGGAAAGTGTATATGTGCTGCCAATCTCGTCAGGATCTGATGGACCGGAGGTTTTGACGTTGCCTGGTGGCTGAATGGGGTTTCCGATCGCTATTCGAGCGCGGTGCACCTTCCATTCCAACAATCTATCACTGAGATTTCCACGTCGAGTTGGGCTGTATGGAATCCTGTTTGGTTTGGATGCTCTTTAAGTGTGGTGGTGGGTATCCGCACGGGTCAGACACCCGGCTGACTGAAATAAAATCACGATTCGATGACCTCCCCCCTTGCTGGAAGGTGAGCTTGTATGGACATTGAGTGAGGAAAAGGCATGACTGAGCTGTAATATTATTACTATACGGTTGTATAGTTACTGTCTCGCCTCACGTGTAAAGTGTGATCATTTTGATGTGAGGTATTGAGAAATACCAGTATCAATGGAGTATTAAAAGGAAAAGGCAGCTATGTTGCATACTGTGGTTCCTTTCTTACAGAAACCAACATACATTAGTGAAGGGTGAGCAAACTATTTATTTCCAGATAAAATTCGGTGCTCTAATACAACTTGTACTTTGCCCACAAAATACACAGTCACTACAATTTACAGTATATCCTGTGAAATGTTTTGAGGAGTCGCGCTAGATGTTATATGCGTTGCAATGATTATTATCATTATTTATTGTGGAATTAATGATGTGAAGCAATAAGGATTATGATAATATCATTGGATGGCTCAGAAAAAAAACATACTAATCACCTAGTGTCAAATTTAATTCATATTTTTCCTGTTTGTTTTGGGCAAAGCTATTGAGATCTAATTGGGGGGGGGGGGCGTGAGTCCCAGCAATATTAAGAGGAATCATACAGCTGTGAATTGCATCTACAGTAAGTATAATAGTAATAATTCTTGCATTTGATACAGCGCCTTATCATGTTTTCAAGATGTTTCAAAGCGCTTCACAGAATCCAATTAAACGCGGCAGCCAATTGTGCACAGCAGAATCCCACACACAGTCGTGGATTGAGTGACCAAATTATTATTATTATTTTAAGGAATAATTATCCCTAGAAAATATATATAATTATGATATATCTGAACAAGTTCCAATTTCCTTTCCTCCACCTGCTATGGTGCCATTATCCGGATATACTCGCTTCCAAATCCACGAGGTGGAATGTGATTATTTCTCTCCCAACAATCAATCACTTTGCCTTCCTGATAAAGACAGAAATTGATAAGCCCAAGGAATAGGGCCTGGCTTCTACGGAATATGAGGTCACTGTGGGGAAGGCCTTGAAGACAGCCTTCAAAGGCTTTACCAATCAGCTAATGAATAAGGAATAAAATATTTTTTGGCAGCAATAGATTCCAAAGGGAGGTAGAGAACACATGAAGGAAGTCATTTGCGTAGCCTTGATGAAAATAATTCAAGCAGTTTCTCCCTATAAGTACCTTTCTCTGAGGACGGTGATTGCAATTTGGCTGGCGGATATGGCAGAGATATTTTGAGAAAGGACAAGGTGAAGAAGTGTTTAGATAGCACCCAAATCAAGTCAGACATGAGCACTGAGGGGTTTGCAGGCTGAACCCACCCTTCCAGAGTAACGTGAAGGCTCAGCCCGAAAGGCTCCTTTCTGTGCTGAACGTTACTGTGTAAGAGCAAATTATGTGGTTATTTACCTACAGTGGAAGAGAACTCCCACTACTGTACCTGACCTCGGAGCTGCATGCTTCTACAGTGCATGCGATTTATGTTGCTTCAGTTTTAATGCATCATGTCAATCTCACAAGGTTTAAGCTGGAAGTGGTGCACACGTCAGAAGGGTGACTTATTGCCCCCTTCCCGAATCTTAGAAATCACAGCAGAGGAGGAGGCCAATCAGCCCATCAAGCCTAAGCGCTCCGGGCTGCTACCCCGTGTGTAGGGCACTATATAAATGCAAGTAGTTGTTGTTGTACCACCAAGCTATATACCATAATCCACTGTGGCTGACTCAGGGGATAGGCTTCTGTATAAAACGTAGAGAATCACATTCCGGTTGGATATTGTGACCGCACCTAGATGTGATCTCTATGGCATCAGGAGTATAAATGGTCTATGGTTTCAATGCCTCAAATTCTTGTTATTGTTAACGTAGAAAATTGGGACCACCTTTCAGGGATAGTGTTGAAAGTGTTTTTATTTTGAAAGGGGTGCTGTTTATTCCTGCGCTGCGGGAGGCCAGAAGGCCAGAGCAGCCTGAACCAGGGATATCTCCACAAGCATCACAAATACAGCTCCGTCATGCAAAATGCCATTTTCAAACAAGACATTTCCTGTTATTGTAATTTTTTCAAAGGTGCCAACATGTAATTTCCAGCTTTTAAAACGACCAGACTGGACGTGCACCGTATTCGCAAGCAAAACACTTCCTTTTGAAGTTGAAACAAGAAGCAATGCGTTTTCTTACCCCCTCAAGATGAACGTCATTCGGTTTCTTGAGCTCCAGCAAAGGAGGTAAAACACACACCGCAAATCGCGTTTCAAATTACTGTGTGCAACAGATGTTTGTGGATTCAATTTATTTTCAAGTGGAGCACTGCTTCATTCCAACCAGAAATTGTGGGTTTAAGTCTGTTTGAGGTACTAAATATAGCAGCAATAATGTTTGGACCTTCACTTAGAAGGGCCGATTTCCACTAATCTTACCAGAATGCTGTCTAATTAAACATTTTATTATATGACCAGTCCTGGAAACATTACATGGCAAGGGGAAACCTGATTGACACAAATCCAAACCCTTTAATAATAGTTTGGCTTCTTTGTAATTTGACCTTTTACTAAATTTGAGCATTTCTTCACTTAGAAGGCAAACTCTTTAAGTCATTCCCAAAGGGATTATGGACATGGTGTTGTGTTGACACAATGGTTTTATTAATTTGTCATAGCTTTACAGAATGTTACAGCACTGACGGAAATCATTCAGCCTTTTATGTCTGCTGGATTTCTGAAAGACTCACTCCCCTGCCTGTATCCTTTATAGTTTG